TATGATTTTATAAATATGAAAAAATTTAGAGGTAGATACAGTTTTAGTTTGAACAGGAGGCCCTCATGCCATACTCGATCAAACGCTTGTGAAATATCTATAAATGCCGCAGTGCAATATTTTTTACCATCTATCGCACTATGGATATGTCTGACAAGTCTGTGAATTTGTTCTATTGTGCTATGTTTTTGGCGAAAGCCGAATTGATGGTCAGGTATGAGTCTGTTTTGTTGGATAAACGGAGTAAGGCGCTTTAGAAACAGGATTTCCATAAGTTTTGACAGGATCGGAAGTAGACTTATTGGCCGATATGATTTGACGTCTTCTGGGCTTTTCCCTGGTTTCGGTATCATGGAGATTTGTGCTATCTTCCACTGTGGCGGAATAAACCCCCTTATTATCACAGCGTTAAATAGATGACTGAGAAATACAAATCCTTTTGGTGGGAGCTGCTGCAAGGCCATGCCTGTGATTAAATCGTATCCTGGAGCTTTTTTTACTTTTAACTTTGTTATTACATCTCTAACTTCATTAATAGTATATCTTTTAATTGGAAGTTCCAATTGATAAGGCTCTTGTAGAAAATTAATCCTTTGATTCATGACATCAGGCATATTTTGATTATCATTTGATTTAAAGACCTGGTCCAAATGTAACGCAAATGTTTCTGCTTTTTCAATATCGCTTTTTGCCCATGAGTTGTCGATTTTGCGTATAGGTGGTTGATAGACAATCGGTCTGCTGTTCTTTTTTATGGCTTTCCAAAGGGTATATTTTGTATCACATGAAGCACTTAGGTTTTGAAGGTATAGCGACGTGCGATTATTGTTATACTTTAAAAGAAGGGCTTTAACGAGTTTACACAGTTTGTTTAAGCGAGTTTTATCCGCAGGGAATCTTGACTGTTGCCAATGTTTTCTCATCCTACGCTTTTCTTTAATCAGGTATCTAATGTTAAATGGATAATCTTGCTTAACACTTTTAGAAATTGGTGGAGTTGATTCCCATGCAGACATTTGGACACAAGAGTTGAAATGCTCTACTGCTTCAGTTACGTCAGATTCAGTTTTTAACCTGACTTCGGTATTTAGACCAACTGAAATTAGTTGACGGTAACTATTCCAGTCAGTGTTTTTATTATGAAGAATACATTTTTCCATAATTTCACAGCAGTCATTGAGAGTGATTATTATTGGCGAGTGGTCAGATGACAAGTCGAAATTGGACTTACAGGTAGTTGTTTCGATACGTACCCCCTTTGATACCGCAAAATCAATTAAGTCAGGTATTTTTTTTCTATCTGTTGGCCAATATGTGGGTTCACCTGTTGAGATTGTGTGGAGGTTGAGTACATTTATTGCTTCGAAGAGTTGACGTCCTTTTGGAGATATTAGGCGGGAACCCCATTTTAAGTGTTTAGCATTAAAATCTCCGCCTACTAGGAACCTAGGTCCAAGCAGCTGAAAAAATGATATGTACATATCTTTCGTGATACTGTGGCGCGGTGGGCTGTAGAGTGATGAGAAAGTCATGTCGCCTTCTTTAGTTTGTACTACAATGTTTGTTGCCTGGATTTCATTCTTGCAATATGGTTTTGCTTCATAATGTTTTATCGAGTTCCTTATGAGGACCGCAGAGCCACCATTTCCTTTACCACTGGGATGCATTGTGTGATAAAGTTCGTAGTTTGGAATTTTAAAGAAACTACGCGTCGTGAAATGGGTTTCTGATACTAGCATTATGTCGACCTGGTTTAATTTTAAAAATGCTTTTATTTCGATAGCATGTTTTGATAGACCATTAGCGTTCCATATGACTACTACTAAATCAAGAATTTTGTTTAGTCGTCAAGTTGATCAGTAAATTTGTCATTACTACGATTTGTTGCATCATTTGCTTCAACAGTGATGTCATCTCACAGAATTCTTCCACAAAATTATTTGGAATTGGTGAAAGCTTCTCCTCTGTTTCGCTACTGGTGTTTGACTTCACTATTTGTGCGAATGTTTCAGGTGAATGAGAAGTCGTGATGTGTTTTTTGTTTAGCGAAGGAAGAGGATTTTCTTGAATTTGTACTTCCGGCGCCCTAGGTCTTAGTTGGGGATACATTTTTTTTTGCAGGTTTTTATATATTTGACATCCTTTGTAGTTGGCCGGATGATTTCCTTCACATAGAACACATTTGACATCATTGGATCTGCTTTTCCTTTCGCAATTTACAGAAGCATGATTTCCAGCGCACTTGATGCATTTAGGTTTGCGGTGACAGTATCCTTTTGTGTGCCCATACTGTTGGCAGTTTGCACATTGAGGGATTTCCCGTTTCGGGTGAGGTGGTTCAAATGTAACTGTAGTATACAAGAGTTTCTTAACCAAATAAATATCCTTATTATTTAGGTTTGGTGCAAGTTCAATAATAAACATGGGGAGAGGTTCACCTGACCCTCTACGTTTAATGTTCCAAACGTTTACAGCCGTATGTTCATGCTCCAGAAGTGCATTTTTGATTTCATCAATATCGGTTGAATGATGCAAATTTTTCAATATAACCCTAAAGCTTCTCTCTGTTTTTGGTTTGTAAGTGTAGAATTCAGTGTTTTTTAACTCCAACTGCTTTACAATGCTTACGTAAGAGTCAGATGTAGAAGGTTGAACTCTTACTTGACTTGGATTTAGCACTTTTAAGTCGAATTGATTTGCCGCATGTTCGTTTAACACATCTATTAGAGGCTTGATACAATGTACCTTATCAATAAATATAGGTGGAGGTTTCATTAATTTTGGATCCGTATCATTATTTTTTAACGATTCTTCAGTTTCTTCAGAGTCATCTTCCTGGAGATCTGCGTATCGGTTTGGTTTGACGGGTTCATTTAGCCAGTATGAGTCTAGCTTGATTTGTTTTTGGCTTACTTGATGATTTTTACTTGGACTATCGCGTTGACGTTTACGGTTATTAACTACTGTCCAAGTGTCGTTAACAGAGGTTTCGTTTCTGGTGGCTGCAGCTTGATTCGATCCTTTATTTTGGAGGAGGTTATTTTTTTCTTCATTATACAATTTTTGAAGCTGTTGTTGAAGTAGTTGAATTTGTTGTTGTATATTTTTCACCTGAACTGATTTAGCCTTTTTCTCTTTTAGATGACCCGAAGTCGCATTGCTTGACGCCTGCCGCGTGTTCATATTAGTTTCTTTGCGTGTATTGGATAGTATTGTTTCGTGTTGATTTGGTGATCTAAGTTTTATATTATCGTTTTTATTATTTATTAATTTAATTTTGTTAGCGATGGCGATTTCACTAGCTATTTTTGTTATGCTTGATTCGATTTTTGAATTTTCTAAAAGTTTGTTTGGGGAATGATTTATTATTTTAGAGTCATCAGTGTTTAGTGTTATATAGCCATTTAGGCCATTTTCACTAATTAGAGAGTGCTGACGTACAACTTTTTCGTAATCGCTCATACAATAAATTTACAATATTTTTACAGTAAGTTTATTTAATTTTATTTTAATTATTTAAAAATTTAAATTTATAAATAAGTAAATTTATTTATTTTTATTTATTTATTTTTATTTATTTTTATATAAGTTTGTTTTATTTTACTTTTAGTAAAATAATTGAAAAAAAAATAAATATGTAATATTTGTTTATGTATTTAAATTTAATTCTTGAAAGTTACACTGTGGCAACACTACAAATATAATTTCTTACTTTCGATCATATGCTGTCTCTATCAGCTGTTTGAGCAAAACTTAATTTTGATTTATTTTGTGTTGGCTTTGTTATTTCTTTGCAAACTTAAAATTTAATTTGATTAACAAAAAATTTTTTATATTACAGAAAAACTGATTAACACCGTCCACTGGCACTGTTTTTTCACAGATTCCTTCATTTAAGGTCTATTGATCAAATTATCATAACTTTGAAATTTAAATTTAACTATTTCTAATCAAAAAAGACAAAAGTTACGGAGTGAACACTTTTTGCGCGCGCTTTCGGTAATTGATCAGCTATTATATTATATTTGAACAAATAACATTCAAATTGTCGTCCCTGATCTGTGGTTACACGTAATTGCACGCCAATTCTTGCAATCCAGGTGGAATAGAATGCGAAGGCTACATTTTCAGCAGAAATATCCTGCAATGGACAAACCTCAGACCAGCGTGAGAAACGATCGATCATTGTCAAACAGTAACGAAAACCTCTACAGCATGGCAGTGGTCCGACAATGTCCATGTTGACGTGGTCGAAACGAGACGAAGCAGCTAGATACTGCTGAATGGGTACCTTGTTGTGGCGGTGAATTTTGCTTTTTTGACAAGCAATGCAGGATTTGGCTTAAATAGCACAATTTTTCTTCATATTAGGCCAAATAAACTTTTCTGCTAATAATTTGTGAGTTCTTTTACCATTTGAGTGGGAAAGGTTGTGGATCGAGTCAAAAGCGATTTTGCGAAAATACTTCGTCAAGACTGGACGAACGTTCCCGGTAGAAATGTCGCAGTACACTGATACATCAGAGTTTGGTAAGGTGAAGGACTTGATTTGCAAGCTGGAGTCTCCATTGAGAAGCCTTTTAACTTCTTCATCAGTCGTTTGCTGGCAGGAAAGTTCTTTATAATTAATTGTCTCGCTAGAATGAATAGCTTCTATACTCGAGAGAGCATCTACAACGATGTTATCTTTACCAGAGAT